ATAAAAATTGTACTAGCTATAACCAATATACTAATAAAGACTTGAGGGCATGACCTCACCTTAACAATAAAAAAAAATAAAAATAAAAAAAAGAATGTATAATTAACTATGATCATTTAATCATTTAATAATTTACTAGAATATGAATATTAATTTTATTCATTTTAATAATTGTTTCTCAAGAGAATGTATTATTCACTATGATTATTTAATTGTTTAATAAATTACCAGCATGAGTATAAAGTTTAATTCTGTTCACTTTAATATTTGTATTTTAAAAGAATGTATGATTAACTATACTATATTTTAACAAATCACCAACATGTATATAAAGTTTAATTCTATTCACTTTAATATTTAGGCTCAAGAGAATGTATGATTAAGCATAATTATTTAATTGTTCAATAAATTGAGTGTGAGTATAAAGTTTAATTCTGTTTACTTTAATGAGTACATTTTAAAAGAATATATAATTAGTAAGTTATAGTTTTTGTATGGGTTGTAAAAAATAACTAAATTTGCATGGGTTGACATTACATAACCAAAGGCCATGTAACTCTGTGCAAATTTAGTTATTTTATAACCCATATAATAACTATTTTATTGCATGGTGTCTGACGTACAATCCCATGCCAATAAGTAAATGAAAAAGCATGGGTTGTTACATAAGACTCATGCAATAATAATCATTTAACTGTTTAATAAAATACTAGCATAACTATGAAATTTAATTCTATTCACTTTAATGTTTGTATCAAGACTATGTATAACTAATCAAAATCATTTAATTATTCAATAAATTACCAGTATGAGTATGAAGTTTAACTCTGTTTACTTTAACAATTGTGTTTAATAAAATATATAATTAACTGTAATTGTTTAATCATTCAATAAATTAATAATACATAAAATATAATTCTGTTCATTTTAATGATTGTGTTTCAAAGAGAATATATAATTAACTGTAATCATTTAATAGAATAATATATTACCAGTGTGAGTATAAAGTTTAATTATATTTACTTTAACCTTTGTGTTTTAAGACAAAAGACAAATGTATACTTAACTGTAATCATTTAATTGCATGATAATTGCAATCATTTAATTGCATGATAATTGTAATCATTTAAATGCATGATAATTGTAATCATTTAATCATTTAATAAATCACCAGAGTGCGTATGAAGTTTAATTCTGTTCACTTTAATGTTTGTGTTTCAAAAGAGTGTATAATTAACTGTAATTATTTAATCTTTAAAAATTTCAAGATAAATATGAAAATTAATTCTGATCATTTTAACACTGTGTTTCAAGAGAATATATAGATAATTAACTGTAATCATTTAATCATTCAATAATGATTACACAGGTTCGTATGAAGTTTAATTCTGTTTACTTTAATGCTTGTATAATAATTCTAAAATAATTAACTACATACTGTGGTTATCAATAGTAAATGAGTTTTATAATAAAATTTTTAAGTCGAATTATGATAAAAATTAATAGTATTTAATTAATTTTGATAAATTTATTTTCTAGATTCCCTAGTCATTATACGCAATTTCCCAAAATTAATATTGAAAATCCTAGATAAATCAATTCTTTTAATATTATAGTTCTATTCGAAATTACCTTATTCTGTACGTTGAGCTCTTTCATTAAAAAGTGTGAATTTAAAATCCTTTCTTTTTATTATTAATTATTGAATTAAAAGAGAATATTATCAAATTATCAATAGCCGGTACTTTATTTTTTTATACGCTGCATGCTACATCTAACTGTTAGTTTAGACCGTTTACATGTAAATTTTTTACTTTTAATTTCATTATAAAGCTTATTGAGACAACTAAAGTTTTTAATCGAATAATAAAAGCTCTTTACATTACATCTATATTTTATTATAAATATATGAAAATCAAAAAATATAAATAATCAAAAGAGTGCTTCAAGTGCAAAATAAATTCTACCTTAAAAAATAAAAATTTTTAATTTTTAATTTATAATTATCGTAATTCTCATAAGACACATTTTTGCATAAGTCTAATTTGAGATATCATACATATTTTGAAAAATATAAAGTCAAATAGACATATTATTACTATTTTAATTTAAAGCTTTGTTTATCTTTTTAGTGTCAATCAGTTTACTCGTATAAATATGGCTTTGATAAATTGATGATTCGAGTTTTGGTAATATTTTATCAGCTTCTAAGAATTGTTTTTTGATCTCATGATCATCCTTCTGTTCCGTTTCATCCATCTGTTCCATCTCGTCAAGCCAATGAAGAATTTTTGAGCAGATGATGATTGCAGTTGGTCGCCCGTTTGGATTAGAATCCATACATCTTTTGGCCAATTTCACATAGCATTTTGGAGTTCCTTTACCAAATTCTGGTCGATCTCCTTTACAAATTTTTATAGCAGGTTCAGTATCAAACGGAACGCCATCAAATGCTTTGTTACCAGCGGATATCTCGGACATAATAATACCGAAAGAATATATATCAGCCGCTTGAGTGAATTGTTGACCAATCAAGACCTCAGGAGCTACGTATGGCATGACAATGTTGAAAGACCTAAATCAATGATGTACGCATCATGCAAATGATCTTGCAAAATAATTCCGGAGTGTAAATCTCTATGAATTAATTCCTGGCAATGAATGGATTCAAGATCCGAAGCTATACAATGCAACAAATTTAACTTTTTTTTCCAATTCATTTTTACAACTTTAGAAAGGTTATCACGCAACGATCCTTCCTTTGCATATTCCAAAACTATAATATAGTCTTGTGAAACTGGATCCCTTGATACTCCGTAGCATTTTAAAAACGATGGATTTTCATACCCAATATCACAATAGTTTTTCAACTATTTAATATTGAATAATTGAATAACTTAAAATTAAATGGCCTAAAATAAACGCAATTAATTAATTAATATTATAATATAATATTACCTCGTCAACGAATTCTTGACTAGATTTATTTGAATCATGAATTAATTTTAGCGTGACTGGACTCGTTAAATTTTCATTTTTATCAAACCAAATTGCCATATATACAATTGCAAAGCCACCTTTTCCAATTCACTTACGTTTGTAAATTCGTTGTAGGGAATCCACGTTAGGTGATACTTTTCTTCATTAATTACTTCCTTTAATTTATCATAATCTAAGCTTTCGTGTAATACTTGCTTGCTTATCCTCTTTGAGTTTCTTCCCTTTCAATACCAATGGTTAGCTCGTTGTATGTCTCTTACTACTCCTATTCCTTTTCTATAACAATCTCCAACTTTCATGATTCCGTTAACATACCCCATATCTGCTGATTTTTTAAAATAAATAAACGCCTTATCATTATCTTTTTCAATTCCAATTCCATTGAGATAACAATATCCAACGTTATTTATTGCACTAGCGTTACCCATCTCAGCAGATTTTTGATAATAAATGAATGCCTTATCATTATCTTTTTCAATTCCAATTCCATTGAGATAACAATGTCCAACGCTATTTGTTCCACTAGCGTTACCCATCTCAGCAGATTTTTGACTATATATGAATGCCTTATGTTTATCCTTTTCAACTCCAATTCCATTTCGATAACAAAATCCAACGCTATTTGTTCCACTAGCGTTACCCATTTCTGCAGATTTGTGGTCATAAATGAATGCCTTATGTTCATCCTTCTCAACTCCAATTCCATATCGATAACAATTTCCAACACTATATACTCCACAATCGCCACCCATCTCATCAGATTTTTGAAATAAGTAAATGCCTTATGTTCATCCTTTTCAACTCCAATTCCATATCGATAACAATATCCAACGCTATTTGTTCCATTAGCGTTACCCATCTCAGCAGATTTTTGATGATAAATGAATGCCTTATGTACATCCGTTGCAACTCCAATTCCATTTTCATAACAATTTCCAAGATTGTTCATTCCACTAGTGTTTCCCATCTCGGCAGATTTTTGACTATATATGAATGCTTTATGTTCATCTTTTTCAACTCCAATTCCATGTTTATAACAATATCCAACGCTATTTGTTCCACTAGCGTTACCCATTTCTGCAGATTTTTGGTAATAAATGAATGCCTTATGTTCATCCTTTTCAACTCGAATTCCATTGAGATAACAATATCCAACGCTATATGTTCCACTAGCATCACCCATCTCAGCAGATTTTTTATAGTATTCAAAAGCCTTATGCTCGTCCTTCTCGACCCCAATACCTTTCTGATAATTCCATCCAAGTTTATTGAGTTCAGCGCCTGTTAGACTCATGTTTAATGATATATAGTAACAATAGAAATTTTAATTGATATTTATACGTAGCATGTATGTTGTTGGGTTCGGAAGTTTGCGACTCTGTCGCTCCAAAATCCTAAACCTCGCGTAACGTACAATAAGTAACCTTTTCG